TAAACTTCCACATTAAGAAATAAAAATATAAAATTCACTTATATTCTTAAAAATATATGGATAAGGGGGGACAAAATCGTTCTCATCGAACCTGCTGAAGTCGGTGAAGCCGTCAAACCCATTGTGGAGGGAGTTGTGATCTTGCTGAACCCATCTAATCCAGATCCCTCCCAACCCACTTTTCTTACTTTCCTTCTTTGTTTCCAACCTCTAGCAGTTTCTTGAACCCACAACACTCCTCTTTTTCTCTCTTGATCTCCTCATGCCGATCCCTCTCCTCGTCAGGTCAAACCCGCTCAACCCCTCCATCTCCACCCCACTACGATTTCGTCCACCCTAACAAATTGTTCTAGCTTAACATGTAAGCAATATGACCGTAAACAAACTGAACAAACACGAACGATGATTGTTCATGTTTGTTCATTTAAGTTAGCCGAATAAATAAATGAACACAAACGGATAAATAAATGAGTTTTATTGTTCATGTTCGTCCGTTTAACAAATTACATTATTCATGTTCGTGAACATGCTAAACGAACATAAATGAATGGAGATAAACAAACATAATTGAGCATACATGAACCTAGACGAACATATACAATATTAATATAATCAAACACAATTGAGTATATATGAACATAAAATGAACTTAAATGAACAAACATAAATGAATGTAAACGAACAATATAAACGAACGTTCACGAACATAATTGAACGAACGTGACCATTTTCATGTTCGTTCATTTAACTAAACGAACGAGAACTTATGTAGATGTTCGTTCATTTATTAAATAAAACTAACATAAATGAACTTCCGACCGAACGGTTTACAAACAGTTCGCTGAATGTTCGGTTCATTTGGAGTACTGATCATATGTGTAACAAATTACCATTCTTTATTACCTTTTTGGAGATGAAGGAAGTTACAACACACTTGTATGTTCAATCAATTATCTTTGTCATTAGAAAAAATTGTGTAGATAAATACCATTTTGACCGATTATTGCATGTTTAGCCGATTTACATGTTCAAAAACACCATTAAACTCATATTTGTTATTAAAACACCATTAAGCTCACATTTTGTAGCACCTGGTTCCTGGTATGTATTTCATTTATGTAATTTTACATTTTTGCCCTGGGACTCGGCGAGTTGATGGCCCAACTCGCCGAGTAGAAGCGGGATAGAACGCGGGGTTTAAGTATGGGACTCGTCGAGTCGGATCCTGGACTCGACGAGTAGGCTCTGTCTGGACAAAAACCCTAATCTGAGGGTTTACACCCTATTTAATCATCTCATTCAGCCCCCACTCGTCCCTATTGCTCCCAGAAACCCTCCCTGGCAAACCCTAAGTGTTTTGGTGCAATATTCAAGGCTTTTGAGTGATTTTGGTGGATTTTGATCACAAGGAAGAAGGAAGAGCATAGAAGGATCAAGAGGAGACTGAAGGATTCGAGTTTGGTGCATCATTTGCTGTTCTCAGAAGGTATAAAGTCTATACTTTGCTTGTTCTTTTGTTAGATCCATTTTTGGGGAGATTTAGGGCTTTTATAAGTCATTCTTGATAGCCAACCATGATTGCAAGCATGGTTGGGGGTTGAGGCTTCGGATCTAGGTCCATGGAAGGGTCACAAGGCAGTTGGGGGTTGCTTTTGCACCCATGGAAGGTCCCATGCATCTTAAGAGCTTCTTTTTGGGCATTTTAGGCTCAAGGTCCCATGCATGCACATAAAGTTTGTAACTTTACGTGCTAGATTGAGTTTAGGGACCTAGATCTATCATTTGGACAAGAGTTGCACTCCAGAAATCGAAGAAATAAGACTTGGACTGCATCGACTCGGCGAGTCGTTCTTGGGACTCGGCGAGTCCAAGGTTAGACTCCCCTTTTTCTGTTATGGTTCATGGGAACCAGTTGAGTGAAAGAAAGGTTTTAGAGGGTCCAAGGGAGTGACCCAAACGTATTGGGATAAGCCATAGTCCTGGAGTTCATAGGCATCGACGAGTGCACGAGCAGACTCGGCGAGCCCAAGGCAATCTCCCAACTCTTGAAGATGAATTCGACGAGTTGTTCATACAACTCGGCGAGTCGAGGACAGGACGTGTTCTTAGGATGAAGATGGACTCGACGAGTGTTCATACCGCTCGGCGAGTCGGAAGAAGGTTCATCCGAGGTTGTTAGAAGGAGAACTCGTCGAGTCGTTGCTAAACTCGACGAGTAGGGACGTGGATGAGGACGGTTAAAGAAATAGGGACTCGACGAGTTGACGACCCAACTCGGTGAGTCGGGTCAACTGGAAGTTGACTTTGACTTTGACTTGGACTTGGTTTGGGGTAAAATAGTCATTTTATCCTAAGGGGTAGATATCAGATTCTGATTAAGTGTTTTGTGGGGATTATAGCCGGAGGATTTCCGGAGCAGCAGCAGTCAGGGATTCCCCGCACAGATTATCAGCAGCTACTCGTTTGAGGTGAGTTACCTTCCAGTAGCGGTGGGTCTACGACCACAATGCCCGCCCACCAGTAGGAGTTGTATGATTGATGATTGTCTTTGTGATATTCATCTAGGTTTGCTACTACCTGTTATGTTATGTGCTAGTATGATATGATGTTAGCAGTAGGGGAGATAGTCCCCAAGATTCCCGGTCGATAGGGCCGAAGGGGGTAGTCATACCCAATCATGCTAGATGGAATATGATTATGTGTTACATGTTATGTGGTAGTAGTGGTGGGGTGAAATAGTCCCCAGTATCCGGTCGAGAGGACCGAAGGGGAGGCCAGCACCCAGATATGCTAGGCAGTATCCGGTCGAGAGGACCGAAGGGGAGGCCAGCACCCGGATATGCTAGGCGGTATCCGGTCGAGAGGACCGAAGGGGTAGGTTGGGCACCTAGATATGTCTGACAGTATATGTATGTTATGTGATTGTATGGTATGCGGTACGATGGGGGAACTCACTAAGCTTCGTGCTTACAGTTTATAGTTTTGGTTTCAGGTACCTCTTCAGCGAAGGGGAAAGAGCCGGCGCAGTAGCGGCACATCATACACACACGCATTGATTTCCGCACTTGAGATATTCTGGGATTGTACTCTGACATGTTGCTATTATATGTTTTGGGTTTTCAGACATGATACATTGATTCACAAAATGATATATTGTTACGCAGTTTTCTTATGAATGTTTTATAATCCGTTAATTAAAATGAAATTTTTTGGACTCGGAATTTGGGATGTTACACATTTGTTGTTAAAGAAACACGGGCAAACTCATATGTGTGTACATGTTTTACTATTAAACTAATTTTTATACACATTTAATAACTTTCATCTTATATTTTGCGATCATATTATCCGACAACACAACCATATGTGAATACACCTAGATATCAATCGTAGAAAAAATAAAAAACATCACCGAAGAACTTAAATGGGCCACAACGAAGCTTCACATTCACACCTATGTTTTATTTGACAAAAATAAATTAGTTTATTGTAGTTTACTGTTATATAAAACCACAAAAATAGCTTATTTTAGCTTATTAACTAACTTATAAGCTAGCTTTTGATAAGCTACTTTGAGATAGTTTTTGATAAGTTTATAAAGCTTTTTAAAATATATTTCAAATATGCCATTAATTATATCTATCTTTTTTCTTTTAGTTGTACATCTAAATGTCCATTTATGTCACATTACATTACAATCTAGTTTATAAACTAACTTTTACCCAACATTATTTATTTATAAGTTAACTTCTCAACTACTATCTAGATTTTCAACTAAAAGGTAGTTTTTCAATTGGTCTGCCAAACATTGTCTTACCATACATGCAATGTTCAAGACCCTTTGTAAACTTCATTGAGAACCATACGACAATTAGATTGAGATTTCATCACTCTCTGCCTATGGTCCGATATTCGTTGTGTACCAACGAATCTAACATGAATAAACCAGTTATCGAAAAACTATAACTTAATTGTTTTCATGCCAAACAATAGAAGATGCTTGTTGTTGTAGGTAGGGCTGTAAACGAACTGAACGTTCAGCGAACTGTTCGGCGGTAAGTTCATTTATGTTCGTTTATTTAATAAATGAACAAACACGAACATAAATTCTAGTTTGTTTAGTTAAACGAACGAACATGAACAATGATCTCGTTCGTTCAATTATGTTCGTGAACGTTTGTTTATGTTCCTTTATGTTTGTTCATATAAGTTCATTTTATGTTCATATAAGCTTAATCATGCTTGATTACATTACTATATTATATATTCATTTATGTTCATATATGTTCATATATGATCAATTATGTTTTTTTTTTTTAATTTTTTAATTTTTTTAATCTTTGTCCGTTTAACTTGTTTACGAATATAAACGAACGAACATGGACAACGTAACTTGTTAAACAAACAAACATAAATAAGAAAACTTATTCGTTTATCCGTTCGTGTTCGTTCATTTGTTCGGCTAACTCAAAACGAACGAACATGAATAAACTCCCATTCGTGTTCGTTCGATTCGTTTACAACCCTAATTGTAGGTGGATAGTGGCAATGAGAGATTGACAATAATAATGAGAGTAGATAGTATTGGGTAGAAAGAAATACCATAATACAGTGTAATCATATATAATATAAAAAAATATAATGATAAATCATGTAAAAGATTAAGATTGTATATGAATAAAAATATAAAATGTGAACATATACAAAAATAACAATTTATTTAAGGTTTAGGTCATTTTTGATCGCTTAACTTTTGGTTTTGTGCTCATTTGGTCACTTAACTCTTTTTAAGTTTTAAAAGGTCACATTTAGTCACCTAACTTTTAAAAAGTTTAGTGACTAAATGAACACAATTTTAAAAGTTAGGTGACTAAATGAGCACAAATCTAAAAGTTATGTGACGTGATCAAACTAAAATTTAAATGACTAAATTAACACAAAGTTAAAAATTTGATGCCTTTTAAACTTAAAAATAGTTAAATCATCATTAAAAATGATCATTTAATGATAACATGCCACTCGCGCATTCAGCAAAAAAGAACCCTTCCTAGTTCACCTGTCGAGCAAAAGCTGGTACAATCCACGTTGATCGATAATTTGAGCGGATCTCCGGCACCGTAAATCACAAAGAGTTTCTCAAGCAAATCTCCGGCTGACAGTAACTGGAAGTAGTTGGGAGTTCTACAGACAAGAAACGATTATGCATAAAACGGCGCAATCGTGGTTCACAGGAGGCCCGAGCCAGACGAACAGCGATCTGCTAAAGCAGCCTCCTTCTCTTCTTGCTGATTGGAACGCTTACGCATCATCTTCACAATCTAACCAAGATCTAGATTCTTCCAACCTCGGTTTCGATCTCGAAGCCGCAGTTAGGGATAAGGTTTCCGGCACTTTCAACGTGTAAGTCGTTTATTGTGACCTACTTTGATTTTGTACATTGGATCTAGACTTCATTATCTCTTTGAATCAGTTTAGTTTCAGCTGGTTGCCTGCATCTTTCTTGATCATGGGAGATGTTATGTATTAAAACCTAACAATGGTAATTTAGGCTAAGTTCATTGGATCTGAGAAATGATAATTGATATGATTAACTTTGGATAATTGTCATATAAGAACTACACATATAAATGCACAACAAATTCGATCTCTTTAGGGTTTAGCGAATTTGTATGAAATATCAAAACAGGAGATTGCATTATTTGACCCAAAAAGTGAAGGCACAACAAGAATAGTCATAGATTGAAAAAGTTAGATCATTTTCAATGCCTTCGAATTGTAGGGGTGATGCTTTAGGATTAAAGTTGAAGCTAAAGCTGCACACAAGCAAGTTCATGTCAAGGGGCATTACCACAACCAATGCACATAAGGGGGATTTCTTTGTTAGATAATTGCACATTTCCACATTTTTCCTGGTCAAATTGGACTTCAGGCCTCTTGTTTTCTTTGTTAGGGGTTGGGGTTCATCAGCATCTGATAGCTTATTTAGACGATCAGAGTCTTTTTGGGGTTGAAAGAGTTATTACTGTGGATTAGAGCTTAAGGGTAGAACAAAATGACAATTAGGTTGAAGCATGTTTCTGTGCCTTTAGAAACTGAAATAAGTAAGAAGATGATAAGACAAATATGTAGATCTGAAATACGTTATTTTCATGAAGCATGAAAATGAATTTACTCTCTGTTTCAACTTGTTATAGAGTTTCAAAGGGAGTAAGAGATATACCTGGAAGCTTGCAGTCTGCCACCAGCAATGTCCCAACTGGAAAGTCCTTTATGACATTTGGCATACTTCTTGCTGTTGGGATCTTTCTTGTCTTCATTGCTATCACTGTGTTTCTACCAGTCATGGTGCTTGTTCCTCAGAAGTTTGCTATATGTTTCACTATTGGATGTGCCCTCATAATCGCTTCCTTTTTTGCCCTCAAAGGATATAGAACTCAGTTTGCACATATGACATCTAAAGAGGTAATTCAACCATTTGTTAAAGTTTTTTCTTCTCTAAAATTGAAAACTTAATTAATTTGTTGGGATGTTCATATTTCACTTCTTATTCCTTCTTGTTTCAGAGACTCCCTATTACATTGGGGTTTATTGGCAGCATGTTGGGCACCATTTATGTTTCAATGGTGCTTCACAGTTATGTTCTTTCTGTCTTCTTCTCTATTTTACAGGTACTAAATCCAACTTCTGTATTCTTGTACAATTTCTATATTTTGTTCTATTGTTTATAGCCTTATTTTATGCTCATGATATTTCCAACTTTTCTGCCAGGTCATCTCATTGTCATATTATGCAATTTCTTACTTTCCTGGAGGATCAGCTGGCTTGAAATTCTTCACTTCTGCAATTACCTCTTCAATTCTGAGATGCTTTGGGAGGTGATTTTTGTAACTAGATAACATGTCTATATAACTTTCACTCCAACTAATTTTTACATAATCCTTGTGATATTAAATGATATTTTCATTCTTTTATGAATTCTTCTATGTACCCTTCTTAATCTTTTCACTGATGTATGTTGACATTAGGCAACTTTTTGTAGCCAGGATCGGTTTCGGTTTTGACAGGTTCATATCTATTGTTAGTTATGAATGCATTTGATCCTATTATCTCTTTGCTGTAACACCATGGTTACCAAACTATCATTACCGAATAAACATTAACTTAATCCATGTTGTAAACCCCAAAATATGGATATAAATTTTACACTACAAAACCTCGACTTTATAACCAAAAATATCTAGTTTAAAGTCTTCAGGGACATAATCTACCTGGAAAATACATACATAACCACACGCTAACAACCCCAAAAGCTATATCTAAATATATATACCAAAAGATCTACTTGAACTTGATCCTCCACCATTCAACTAACAAACCTTCTCTTTATCTTTAACAACCTTTCCTGAAAAAAAATGTTAACCACTAAAAGGATAAGGTAAAAGCTTAGTGAGTTCATATGGAATTGAGTGGAAAATGTACATTATATATACATACAAAAATCAACAAGGGTACAATCATAAAAAATACATGAATTTACATAAAAAAAGGTAATTGTCATATACCGAATGTCTCACCCGTGCTGTGGGGTTGTCGACCTTGGTATCACTAATGTCTCACCCGACTTGACTTGACTTCCAGGGCTGTCAACAATGGTATCATGCTAGTCTCACTTGCCCTCCTAGGGCTGTTGACCATAATACCCCTCATTGACTCACCTGAACTCCCCTTCCCTTATTACTCCTGTAAGTCCTTAGTCTTGGGCTATTGGCCACTTACCAATAGCCCGTATCACACTAAGTAGCACCACATATTTTTGGTATCGAAGGACAAATAACGAAAAAAAGGCAATGGGATTCAGATTCAAGATCAAACACATAATTACTCAAGCGTATTTCAAGCATGGAATTAAAAGACACGTGAATTAACCATGAGGATGCTATACAAGTGCAAAAAGGACCCAACATCGACTATTTTAATGAATACATGAAGTATGGATCAACAAAAAGACATATACACATAATCACATTGTAAGCACATAATTCTACATTAACTCATAGTGATGGAATATAAAAAAACGGCGAATTCAAACCGATTGCCACGTTCTAATTCCAAAATCCAATGGAATTACATGATCCACAAGGCTACAATGACTTTATTATAACCCGTGGAGCTATGCAGTCGGCGATAGCGTTTACGGAGGTAAAGAACCGTGATTTTCAAAATAGCGGTAGCGATATTAGCGCCGCGATTTACCGCGATTATAATCACCGCTACAGCGGCGCTATAATTGCTATTTGAATCAATTCCATTTTTGGGCTTTTTTACATAAAGAAAACGTTTTTTTGAGCAGTTCCATTGATTAAAATTGTTTTTTCTTAACCCAAAAAAAAAAAACTTTTGTGCCATTCCATCGAATAAATTGTGATTATGTGACTATGATAACTTCCATTGGAACCATGTATGTGTTGTCTTGCTAATTATGTTGAAGACTTGAAGTACTACAGTATGATTAACTGTCAAATTGTTTAATCATTTTATTTGCTAACTGTGATTGTGTTGAAGTATGATAAAATGCTAAGTGTTGTTTATGTTTTATTGTTGATTGTGTTAAAGTATGATTAACCGTGACATTGGTAACCGGCATGTGAAGTATGATCAACTAATTATAATATGTGAAGTATGATTTACTGATTAACTGACTAACCGGATTGACTTGAACTTTGAAGCATGTTTTTCTGATTAATACTCTAATATATATAAATTCTACAAAAATATAAATTCTATATAGACAAAACTTCATAAATGGTCCTATGGTTTCACAAAATCTGAAATTTAGTCCTTAATTTTAAAAAACCTCACGGATGGTCCCTGTGGTTTCAAAACTTTTAATGTTTAGTCCTTACGACTAACTCCGTCAGTATTTGTCTGTTAAGTAAATGACATTTTCGTCGTTTCACTACGCAGGGACCATTTATGAGGTTTTCTATTATTATTATTTAAAAAATGGAAAAAATCACCATCTAAAACTTGCAGCCTTGTCTTGATTGTATCCAATGGCATTGTCACCACTGCCGAAAACCCACTAGCCATGGCGGCACTTGCCACCTGTACCGCCACCACCGCCTTAGAATCTGGTGTAAAACCGCCACCGCCGCCGCCACTATTCCCTCTTTCTTCAAATAGTAACAACCAACCCCACCCCACACAGCACGATGAGCCATGAAGTAAGCCACCCACCAGACTGCATTTGATGGAGCATATGCAGGATTGAAATCCCAAATCCTCTTTATAACCCTTGAACACCATCAGTTTGAATGATCTTCCTAAATGCATCAATTCCACCATTGTATCTAATATGTGCACCATGTCCACCTTGAACCATTAGTCTATGGCTCACAATATAGACTCATGTGACATCCCCATTTTTACGGCCGAAAAAGACCAATTTCGTTTATGCTTTTTAATAAAAATCAGAGTAACTTCTTAAAAAAAGTGTTGCGAAATTTGTTCCCAAAACAAAATATAATAAAAATTTATCGAAACATTTTTTAAGAAATGTATTTTCATTACATTACAAAAACTCGGGATGTCAATCATCGATACAGATCATAAGCATAAACCAAAAACATCATAGACCACAAAACACAATCTGGCCCCAAAACAACATAGGCCTTACAATATTCAATTTATTTTCTACTGGCCTAAAATCCATAATCTCTCGTCAAGTCATCCAACTATGCTTTTGCCACTACCTGTAATACAAGAAACTGAGTGGGTCAGGCTGGGGAGCCTGGTGAGCATATAGGGTTTTCAACCCACAATAAATAAGTTTATTATTTTCAACAATCATTAAACCCGATTACCCGTTCCCGTTATCCTCACCTTACGTCCCTAAAGCATCTATCATAAGGGACCTATCCTTAGGAATTTCATCGGGATGGACACTACTGCTAAGGGGATTCCTCAGCCATAAGTGTTCGTAAGGCAACCATGGGGGGGATGAAGTACACCGGTGAACACATCGTTCACAAACACCTACAGGTTGCGAGCCTGCTAGCGTTCCACTGAACTTCCTGGAAAAGTCCGTGGTAGTCATCCATACTCCGCTAGATAACTGGATCAACGTCAACATCGAGGCCTCTCATCATTTCATTTCATCATACACCAACTATTTTGTCTACCCATGTTTTACCCAACACATTTGTAGTTATAAAACACATATACAATTCAGATCTGGAAAACAAATTTTAAATCTTTCATACATCATAGATCTCAAGGTATAAAACATACATATACAATTTAGATTTGAAAAGCTTAGATCTGAAGTGAGAAAGTCTAGATCTGAAGGAAAAAGTTCAGATCTGAAAGAAAAGGGTTAGATCTGACAAAAAAATATATATACCATTCAGATCTGAAGAAAAGTCTTAGATCTAAAAAGAAAAAGTTTAGATCCGAGGGAAAAATCTAGATCTGAAGGAGAAAGTTCAGATCTTTCATCCAGCAAACATCTCAGACAACATATATTTATATACATAGCACGTAATTTATATAAAATACTTCATATCTATGTGTAAGATGAAAGTGACTATACACTCACATGATAAGGAGTGATTCGGACAACACTTCGCTTCTTAAAATAATATTCTTTGACGAAACCGGGAAGTTTGCTTGAAAACCGGGCTCCGCACGGGCAGAGTTTCAAACCGAAAAACTCTTTTTCTTGGAGCCTTCGGGCTCTCCGGGGCTTCCTTCGAGGGCTAGGGGGTTTTCCTAGGCTTTAAGAGGGTTTTAGGGGCTATAGAGGAAGTAGTGAGAGAAACTAGTGAGAAAAGAGTGAAGAAATCGGCTGGCCCTCGGCCCCCTTTTATAGCCGTGAGGGCTTGCACTACGTTGGGCGTACTCCGAGGTCGTACGACACGTGTCCGAAGATGGATGGGTCATCGTGGCTCAATGCGGACCGAGGAAAAAGTCAATACGCGGGGCGTAAGCGTACCCCTCGCACCCAGCTTCGAGATTTCCCACTCCGACTTCTAAAATTCATAACTTTCGCATGCGTGCTCCGTTTTTGATGTTCTTTATATCCACACGTAGGTGAGACCGTACTCTATAACTTTCGTTTAGACTTTGTCGGTTAATTCTCGACCGATTTTAAATTTAATAGTATGAGAAGATTACACCGTTAAACGACCGTGTAAAACTCATAACTTCTACATACGGACTCCGTTTTCGTCTGTCTTTTTATCGTTGAGCTCCTATTGACGAGATCTTCGATTCTCGTGTAGGTTGTGTTAGCTAAAAACTGCTCGATCTAATATTTGAACTTCGGGCTGTGCACTGCCAATCCGAAACTTAGAAAAATCATAACTTCCTCATACAAAGTCAGATTTGGGCGTTCTTTTTATGTACGCTCCCTGTTTAAAAAACACTACAACTTTCATTTATATCGCTAGGGATAAAAAGTCCTCTATCGTAAATTCACTATTTACGTCACGCTGTGTCGTGCCGGTTCTGTCGTGAAATTTCGACATGCCATAACTTCTTCATTATAACTCGGATTTCGGCATTCTTTATATCTTCGGAATCCTTGTCACGACCACTACAACTTTCTTCATAGATATCGGGTTTATCTAACACTTTATTTTTGACGCTTATTTTTATCCTTTATTTATTATATTATTATAAACAAGTAATAAGCACACAAAAGCACATAATTCACGTAATATTCAAGTAATTCATCTTTATTACTTTAAAACGAGTTACAATGGTTGACCCTGACTATTACATCACTATACTAATGCTTAGCCCAGAAACACGGGCGTTACAATTCTCTCCCCCTTAGGATGATTCCGTCCTGGAATCATGCATCAACAAACAAATGTGGGGTAGCGACTCATCATGTCACTCTCTGTTTCCCAGGTGAGATTCGGCCCATTCGAATGTTTCCATCGCACAAGCAGTAAGTCGACCATCTTGCGTCGCAACTTCTTAGTCTTACGGTCAACGATTGCCTCGGGCTCTTCGATTAGCCTCTTATTCTCATCCATCCTTAAATCTGAGATTGGAATTATGTCGAGAACTTCTACCGTAAATTTCCTCAAATAACACACATGGAATGTGTTATGAATACCATCTAGTTCTTCTGGTAGTTCGAGTTTGTAAGCTTGGTTCCCAATCCTTTGAAGAACTTTGAACGGTCCAATAAACCTTGGACTCAACTTTCCTCGTTTCCCAAATCTTATAAGTCCCTTCCACGGTGAGACTTTGAGCAAAACTGAATCCCCAACTTTGAATGTCACTGGTCGCCTCTTCTTGTCAGCATAGCTCTTTTGACGATCCTGAGCTACTAACATCGTTTCCCTAATCACTTTCAGCTTTTCAGCAGTCTGATGGACTATCTCGGGGCCCATAAACTGCTTTTTTCCGGCTTCAAGCCAACAAGACGGCGTATGACACTTTTATCCATATAAGGCTTGATAAGGTGCCATCTTAATGCTCGAATGGTAACTATTGTTGTAGGAAAACTCTACCAGAGGTAAGTGTTCATTCCAGTTACCTTGGAATTCCAGGGTACATGCTCTTAGCATATCTTCAAGTGTTTGAATAGTTCTTTCACTCTGACCATCGGTCTGCGGATGGTAAGCTGTACTTAAACACAATTTTGTACCCCATTCCTCTTGTAGGCTTATCCAAAATCTTGATGTGAAACGACTGTCACGATCTGATACGATCGTTAAAGGAACACCGTGAAGTCTTACTACCTCCTTCATGTAAGCATTGGCGAGCTTATCCATTGTCACAACTAGGAATTCTAATGCTTTTGTAAACATTAACAATGATAACATTTATAACTAAAACTTGAAAGTATGCATGATGTTTATTCAATGACACCAAAATTCCATCAAACACTCTATATAAACACTTCAAATAGTCAAAAAAAGATTGGAAACCCTAAAAATCCCGGTTTAAGTCCTATATGGACTAGGATTTTCTTATTGGGCCTAATGGACCAATAAGTCTCCAATTTGACTAGTTTGGGCTTAGAACTCTTAATTGGGCTCTAATTCAACCCACCTTCATGAGATTTAACATTTTGGGCCATATTGGGCCTAAAATGGAATAAACTACTCCAATAAGCCTTATTGTGCCATGACTAATCTAATTAGACCTGATGGGCCACAAACCTATTCTATTATGCTAAATTGGGCCGTGAACCACCCTAAGGGCCCAATTGGCCGAAAACCTCTTATTGGACCTTGTGTTTTCGAGCAAAGCCAAGAATGAGCCAAAGTGATTTTCCTTCCCTCTCTCTTTAGCCCATCTCGGCCCAAATGATATAAAAAAAAGGGAAATGTAGAATTATGAGGGCAAGACACATCATTTTTACATTTTGGATTTCCATGCAAGACTTCTCTCCTCCCCATGCACATATCACTTCATCTATTTCTCTTCCCTCTTCTCTCTTCTTCTTCTCGACCGAGGCTACCCACGCACACACACCACCATTTCAATTTACTTCAAACTCTCTCAAGAACATCTTCATCCTCCCTCCAAATTATCGAGAATCATAAGGGCTTCAAGAAGAATTTCATCCAAAAATTACTTCAAGTTATATACTAGTGGTAAGATCTTGCAAACATGTTTTCCTTCTACACTTAATCACTCTTCTTACAACCTTAAATTCTTGATCATACTCCATAGAACTCTTCAAATTCGAGGTCTTTTCAACGAGCTTGTTAGGGCCAAAAACAACACCATCTTCTTCCATTTCTTTTTTTAAAACCGTGAGCAACTAAGCAAGGTGAGTTCATACCCCCCTTGTTTTCGGTTTTTACTTGTTTTTGGTGGAGAATACAAGTACTATGTGTTGATCTATGTGTGTATGCTTGTTATATGTGATTTCTTTGGTTTATGTTGTGAAAATATGATGTTATTTGCTAAATCTTGAAATCTATGGTTAAAGTGTGAAGAATACATAAACAATGTACATAATAAACAACTTACTTCAAGGATCTAAGGATCTTTAGGCTTAAGAAGTGAAAACAAAGTCAAAATCCTTAAAAGTGTCATTTTTGCAAAAATAATCAAAGTTTGGGTAAAATATGATATTTTCGGTTTTATAAGGACAAAATGGTATTATTTACATAGAAATCTAACTTTTGTGAAAATAAAACTTGTCTAGGGGTCTAAAACGTAAATTTTAGCTTAATGGGCTTTAAATTTGGG